TTGTTTTTCAATATTTTTTATAAAATATTACTATATTTACTGAATCCTAAAATAATTTGCACCTCATTAGGGTACCATCTAATATTAAAATGACTTTAAAGTGAGAATGAATGTATTAAATTGAAATAGCATTTGATGGTATGAAAATGAAAATTATAAAACTTTTGTAAAAAATAATAGTAGTTTGTCAAAAACGTCTGTATTTTTGAGGGTGGCATTTCAATGGACTATTTGTCACATAATTAAAGTGTGTACGAGCATAAGATAAAAAAATTTCAAATGCACAGTCAATGTTATTTTCGTGAGCTAAGTATATTTTCCAATAGCGCTAACGCATAAGTACATATGACCAAAAACCCGAAAGAAAATTTTTGGAAATCGATAGAAATGCACGTACGGATGTTTTTCATTTTTAATATTCAATAAATTTTAATTGAAATATTAATTTGAAAATACACTATACGAGTGTCATTAAAAAGAGAATCTCGTTAAAGTTCGGAATTCCCATCTTATCGTGTTGTAACCGAAATAACGGTAAAAAAAGCGTAAAACAAACTCACTCGTAAAACTTCATCTCGATCTCGGCCATACGTTCAAAGTACCTGCAATTCATAAAAATGCACAAACAAATTGATGATTAAACAAACAAAAAGTGGGGGGGGGGGGGTAAAAAATAAACAATGAAAACACACGCTCAAACCGTACCCACCTGTACTCGGTGGAGTTAGCAATGGGCGCGTACTGTATCTTGTATTGTCTCGAGAGATCCTCGAGCGACTCGACGGGCAGCTCGAGTCGCGACACGGTGAGAAAAGCCGCCAAATTGGCCGTGTACGAGGCAACGATGATAAACCCAAAGAGCCACCAGGTCGCAGCGACGAGTCGACCCGACAAACACTTGGGGGCTTCGCCGCCACCCTGCGGCGTCAACGAGGTCATGCAGAACCAGAGCGACTCCTTGAGATCGAAGAGCCGCTTGTCCTCGTCGTCCTTGTACTTTTCCCGGTTGTTTTGATAACTGTAGGGGGAAAACCTGTCGAAGAACCACATGAGGAGACTCGTGAAGAGGTACGCCCCGAATATACACAGCCAGACGTCGATCTCGAGCACCGTGAGAAACTTGAAGAGCGAAGTCGTGGTTTTGGGCCTCCTGCGGAGTATGGTTATGCCGACGAGGTCGTAGTAGGGCACCGTGTAGTCGATGACGTTCTCGCGCTCGGCCATCACGGCGAACGCGCCCAGGGCTATGTCGGCCGTTTTGTCCTTGAGCTCGCGCACCATGCCGGTCCACACCCCTTCCTCGTCCATAGCACCGTAATCCTTGTCCTTGGCCTCGTGGATGTCGTACACGAAGGGCACGTGCTTGGTTATGTGGTTCAGCAGGTCTATGCAGTAGCCCGACCATTTTCTGGTTTGGTGGTCATACATGACGAAGGGGGGCTTTATCACCGTGACCACCCGGTAGCTCGTTATCGCTGTGTTTTTCTGCGCGGCATTCATCTTCTTTACCTGGTGACCAAATTACACGTGCAAATTATTATTCAGCACATTTCCATCTATAAATGTATTTTTATGTCTTATATTGCATGCAATAATAATAATAGTAGTAGGAGTATATATGATACGGCGACGCACATTGAGCGGTGACTCGATGCCGGCCGGCCAGGTCTCGACGGTGTCGGACTCGACGATCCTCGAGCTGGTTATTTCGATGATGTCGGCATTGACGTCGAATTTGGCGCGACTGACGCCGTTCTCGCCCCAAGCGAAGCCCGCGTAAATCGGCGTGAACCCGGTGCCGGAGGCCTGCTGAAGGTACTTCCTAAAGTTGAGGTTGCGCGCCGGTAGGGTCGCATTCTCGTTGTAATCCTCGCAGGTGACAAAGGTGGGCCGCTTCCACTCGCCGGCGTCGAGGGCGGCCTTCATCCCCAGCACCCCGATTCTCGCGAGGTCGTAGTAAAAGGCCGAGGTTATAAGAGGCTGGGCCAGAACACCCTTGCTCGCCAGCTCGCTCAGTTGTTGCTGGTTGGTCGCCGGTTGCGGATGAAATAGCATAACCTTGCCGGTTGGGCACTTGGGACAAGTTATCGACGGGCTTTCGTTCATGCTCACTGCGAACATGCCGTATTTGTTGCCGACGAAATCGAGCTTGTTGACTGCCTGCAACGCAGCCGAGATCAATCCGTCGCTGCCCAGAATGAAGAAGTTGACTATGTCGAGGTTACGTAGCATCGTGATCTGGCGCTCGAGGGCGATCCCGGGCGCCTTGGCGGGTACCATCACGTGACGCGTCGCGACGTTCAACAGGAGGCTCTTGTACTTGTGGTCCATGACGAAGGTGTCGTCGAAGAGGATAGCCGCGTTGCTTATGTTGAAGGTCGAGCACTGCTGGCGCACTACCTCGGGCATCAAGTCCACGGGGTTCATCACCTGCACGAGGTACTCTGTAAACCGTACGAAGCGGTAAGTTAGAAAAGTAGAGGGTATATGCGCATGGGCGTGCGTTTGGGTTATTACGTTGTTGTTCCTTGGTGATGTCCCGCCAGCCCAGCATGTCGCCATCTTGGCCGTACTGAGCCGAGAGGGTGGGTATGCCGAGGAAGGCGGTGAAGCGATTGACGGTCTCGGCTCCGAGTCCGTAGGTCGCCGTGTCGAGAACAAAATCGGGGATGTTTTCGTCCTTTTCTTGCAGCGCCGACTTCCATACCGGGCAGATGCTGTCGAGGGTCTCCGTCGAGCCACTCGCGTTGACCGTCGCCACGTACACCTTGCCTAACTTGTTGGGACTCTTCTCCTTCAGCATCTTCAGCGCGTTGGTCACGCTCTTGTTGGCCACGTCGTTTTCTGCGTCGTTGATGACGACTGGAATCAATTTTTTTTTTTTTTCTTCGTTATCTGATGTACACGTTTATACAATCTTAATAATTTTTACTTGTTTTCAATACAGGCGTGGAGGAAAAAAAAAAAAAAAGTAATTTTCCGCCCTCGGGTGGTTTTGGGAAGCTGGTACTTCCTCGGGCGAAAAAGCAGTTTTCCGGAACTCGTTCGAAAAGTCTCCTTTACGAACCTCGTTACGTCCCTCGCCTTCGGCTCGGGCCGAAAACCTCTCGGTTCGCAAACAAAGACTTTTCAAACTCGTAGGAAAACTACTATTTAGCAATAGTGTGCAGAAAATAGGTGTTTTCCGCACTGTTTTTGGTGTGGAAAATCAATTTTCCCGCATAATGTGCGGCAGAGGTTCGTTCACTCGTGCGGGAAATCGTCTTTTCCGCACTTGTTGTACGTAAATAACTATAGCACATAGGCGAATAAATCGACTGGGGAAAAAAAAAAGATAGCGACGTACAGACGTTGACGGGCCGGGCCGCGGCGGCTTGCTGGACCAAGAAGACGCTCGCCGGTCCCGCCAGGAAGGACACAGCGAGGAGCTCGGCGAGAAGGATCAACGACATGCTGCCGTTCTTGTGTAAACGAGACGACAATCGAGTTTGTATGATCTACAGCTTCAGTGTGGCTTATCGTCCATGTCGCAACAGGTTGTACAATAAGCGTATCTCAGCGAGAACCTGCAGACACCGACTGACCGATCCTCCGTGGTTCTGTATACACTTATCCACGTGCGAGCGTGTTGTACCTTTGTGTGTTTGGATTTCCGTTGCCGCGGGGATGACCCACGGGTTACGCGTTCGGTTAATTAGCCGAAAGCCCACTGCTCGCTAAGTAATTTTTTTTTTTTTTTTTTTTTTTTTTTTTTCTTTTTTTTTTTTTT